GCCCCGCGCTCGCGCGACGGCGCAGCCGCGGCACGTTCCGCCCGCGGCCCCAGCCCCCCGGGGCTCCGCGCGCCCGCGGCGATTGGGCGGCTCGCGGCGAGGGCACCGTGCGACCCGCCCCTGCTCCCAGCGTCCCAGCCCGCGGCGGCAGCCAGGGCGGGTCCTCCTCCCCCGCCCGGGAACCGTGTCCTGCGGTGGCCTAGCGGGCTGGGCCTCCGAACCCCCGCGGAGGGCTGCCCCACCTTCAGCCTACGCCGGGGAAACTGAGGTCTGGACTTTGAAAGCCTGCCTGCACCTGTCGGGACCAGATTCTGGCATTCCTCACTCTGCTGATAAGCTGGCACCCCACAAGTCACCCTCCCAGCATCTCAGCAAGGGTCTGCCCACTGCCAGCGCTGGCTTCCTCACCTGCCAGCCTGCCGCCGTCACCACGAGTTCTTTTTACCATGTAAAACCAGTTACCTTGGTTTCTCTTATTTACTGTGTGTGTGTGTGTGTGTGTGTGTGTGTGTGTGTGTGTGTGTACACGCACGCATGCGCTACCACACGAGTGGAGGTCAGAGAACAGCACGCAGGAGACAGTGCGACAGTCCCGGTGATAGACCTCGGGTCATGAGACACAGCGACAGGCAACCAGGGGAGCTGTCTCACAGCCCCGCACCTTGGTCTTCTCCGCGTCGACACACACTTCTGTCCAGTTCGCCTTCGAGCCTCAGCTGATGGGCGCAGAGAGCCCAACACCTTGCCGCTCAGCAGCACTACAGAGCCGTGTGGCCTCTTGGGCAAAACGGAAACTACGTTCAGTATAAACACTTCAATGCGTATAAAAATGCGTCCTGTAGGATTTGTCTCGATCCCTGTCTTCTCGGAGTCCGTTTTTGTCAGCCTGGCTGCAGCGACTTGCTCTGCTCACCCTGAGGATGCACCTGCAACAGCTTCAGTATCCGCTGTCACTCAGCTCTGCTGCTCCCGCCGACAGTTTAGGGCCCAGTGGCCTGCTCTGTGCTGATATTCACTCAGTTGTGTAAAATTCAGTGCCAGTCATGAGAAATTCTGTAGAGAACTAGCTTGCAGCCTTCTCCAAAGGAGCGCTGTCCAAGATGGCTTCCTGCAGAGGCAAGGTGACTTTGGACCTTGGCTGAAAGGCGCTGGGAATCATTGCCTTCACATGTGGTAGAATGTGTGAGGTGGCATGTGCCTATAACTCCAGTACTCGGGGGATGGAAACAGGAGCCTGGGCTCATACCCTAAGACCAGCTCAATCCCCTGCCTCCCTACCTCCTGCCAAACCCCAGGCGTGGTAGTGCACACTGTAACTCCACCCCCTCCTGACGGGAGGCAGGACGATGAATTCAAAGTCATTCTCGACTACTTAGGGAGTTCAAGGCCAGCCTGAGCTACATGATGACTCTCTCTCCTGTGTGTGTACATACAGATAGAAAATACTTTCTGTCAATGAGGGACTGTGAGAGAACTGTGTTCTGTGATGAGGAGTCTCAAAGAACCCACAAAAATATTTGTAATCTAGGAGGCTTTAATGTGGTGTTGAAGCCCTGTTTGGAGGTTGGTCACTTTCCTTTTGGGCAGCTATGACCCTCACAGCCCTAAACCACCTCCTTTACAGAATCCTTATACTCCAGCCCGCTCTACACCCAGGTATAAGACAACCAGAGATATTCCCGTGTTCCAGCACCCACTGAAATTATTCAGATTAGGAAATCATAAACTGCCCCTTGCCCTTCTTCAGGAATGTTGATTATGGCTCCCTCCTTTGTGGCAAACCCCGCTGTTTTCCTTGAGTGGCCTACATGGCCTGAGCTCTCTCCAGGGATAAAAAGCAAGGAGAATAAACTGAATACTTTCTTAACTCTCTATTCACTGTCTGGCTTCACCATACTTTACTAGAGACAATAAAATTAAACAGGGAAAAAGCTTGGAAAATTTGTCAGGCAGTGAAAATCCTAAGGCGGAGCCAGACGTGGTGACACATGCCTGTAGACCCAGAACTTGGGAGGTTGATGAAGGGGCATGGTCATGAGTTTGAGGCCAGCCTAGACTACAAATGTGAGATTCTATCTCAAAAACAACACAACAAAGGCAAGCTTGGTATAGCAGTGCACATCTGTGATGGTGATGATGATGATGACAATGACGATGACTATAAGAACAACAATAAAATGAATAAAAAATTAAAAACACAACAAGGGCTGTGTAAGGTTCAGTCACTGACAGCACATGCCTTGCAAGCACAGGACTTGAGTTTGATCCCCAGAACCCAGGTTACAAACAAGCACTTGTAATCCAGAGACAGAGGCAAGAGAATATATCCCTGGGGCTTGCTGACCAACTAGAGCCTACATTATTTGGTGTGCTCTAGGTCAGTGAGAGGTCCTGTACCCCAAACCAAGGTAGATGGTGCCTGAAGAATGACACCTAATGTTTAACTCTGGTTTACACACACACACACACACACACACACACACACACACACACACACACCATACATATTCCAAAGACACAACAAGACAATACCAAGTAAGGAGGATCTTCTGAGCCGTCTCTGCCCTTCTCTCCACTAGTGAGTGTTCTTTTACCACACTCACTAGTGAGCTCAGAATACCTATCAGCCATCTTGAGGGGTGGAAGGATGGAATATTACAGCCTTGGTAGCACAGGCCTATAGTCCCAGCTATTGAAGAGGTTGAGAAAGGAGGCTTGTGAGGGTGAGGCCTGCCTGGGCTACAGAGAGAGTTCAAGGCCTGCCTGCTGGACTTACTGAGACCCTGTCTCAAAAAGTAAAACAATGACAGCAAATTTGGGAGTAGATCTTGGAATAGCACAGTAGCTGATTGGCCTAGTTCAGTCAAGGCCAGGAGTGCAATCCTCAGAATTGGGGAAAAATTAAAATTCCAAAAACTGTGGTTTGAAGAAGTCTCCTGAGCAGGACACAGTGGAGTGCTGTCCTGTGCTATTTCCTCCCTGGGCATGTCCAATGGGGTGAGCTTTACAGGGAAAGAGAAAATCCAGGTTTGTTTACTGCGCTAAACTGGACATTTTTATTACTGGAAGGAAACTCTCAGGTCTGGAGGAATGGACTAGAAAATGATGGGGACCACCCAGGTTTTCTTTAAGAGTCAGGAGGGCTTGTTTCATAGACCAAGGCTAAGTGATAAGCAGGAGGGAAATCAGGTACAGGGAGAAGGTTGTTTTTTTGTTGAAGCATGGGCAAACATGCTACACATGCTGAATCTCTCCATCCTGGACCCCTCCAGTCTGTCCTTGGCCATCACCCTGGAAAGCACTGAGACCCCACAGGAGTTTGGCCTTCTAGACAACAAGGCTCTCGTGTCAGTATAGCTGACGAGCTTCGAATTTCTTTTCTTAGGAATGGCTGTGTGGTGTGGGATTTCCGGTGTCTCTGTCTTCTGACAGCCTGCTGTTTCCTATTTGAGAATGATCCTAACCTGAAATTGCAATTTCTCTTATGTATTTACTACCTCAATTGGTTTAAGAACACCAGACATAAGCTAGGCCAAAAATTTCTCTTTAGTCTGTCTGTCTTTCTGTCTTTCTTTCTTTCTTCCTTCCTTCTCCTTCTATCTTTCCTTCCTCTTTCTTTCTTTCTTTCTTTCTTTCTTTCTTTCTTTCTTTCTTTCT